CCCAACCCTCCACCCCGCCAGCCAGAGGCTTAAGGGGTTAAATTAACCGATAATGAACAAGGAATTTGCCGCGTCATAGAACGGCCGCCGACCCTGGCCTGCGCGACAAATTGAAAATGCGCAAGGGGGGCTCCGTGAGGCGGGGTGAGGCAGGGCAGGGGAGGGAGAAAAATACACCGACTTCAGGACGAATCTCCCCTCTGCCACGCTAGTCTCACGCGCGCCCGCGCGCCGTCGCTCTCCCCGTGCGAGATGGAGCAGGAGGGAGGGTGCGAGTCGAGATAGAGAGGGTTGAGAGAGATAGAGAGGGTTGAGAGCTGGAGAGGGTAAGGAAAGGAAGAGAGAGGGAGAGAGAGAGAGAGAGAGAGAGAGAGAGAGAGAGAGAGAGAGAGAGAGACGGGGGGCCAACCGGCTCTCTCTAGCTCCAGCCGTCACTCGCGAGGGCTCCTCTCCTGCTCCAGGCGCAAAGCTCTTCTTTCTCAAGCCGGACTATATGGTGGTATTGATGAATGGAGGCAGCCGAGGCAGCAGACGACAAACGCGTCGCGAAGGCAGCGGGCGGCGGCGGCGGCAGCGGGGGCGGGGAGGGGCGCGCTATAGTAACGGGTGAAGAATGGAATCTGCTTTAGGCGTATCCTGTCCCTGTCCGTCCTTCGCAGCCGAGGGGCGGACGGCGGCAAGGAGACCCGCTCACAGTCCCGCCCCCTCACGCCCCCACCTCCTTCCTCCTCCTCCTCCTCCTCCTCCGTAACGCCGCCGTCAGACACCCAATGTCTTATTATCCGCACTGCCTCGAGCGGCGGGGCGGGGCGTGCCAGAGCGCAGCCAGAGCGGTTTTGTACATTCCAATCAGAAAGTCAATCTCTTTCGAAGGAAAAGGTGCAGACGGAGGAGGGAGAGATGATGAGCAGAAGTCGGACGCGGGAAGGAGGGTGGTGTGGGGGTCCATGGCCCGTGCCCGACGGCCGTGCCTCCCTCCCTCCGCCCTGTCGGAGCGTGGCGCCCGTCGTGCACGCCCTCGTCAAAGGTATATAAGGGTTCCTACTGTAATCTACTTTTCTGCCTTTCTTGGGAAACAAAATTTTCAGTTAGGACGCCAAACTTGGCGGGGCACGTGCGGCGAGGGGCCAGTACGCGCGCGCGCGCGCCGCTAGAAGCGAGAGGGGCGCGTGGCGGCGGGGCGCTGCGCCCTGCAGCGGGAAGTGTGAGTTTGAACGAGCCCGCCTTAATGGTCCCAGCCCTTCTTTCTCGCGCGCGCTTTCGCACTTTCAAAAACTCTTTTACTCGACATTTTTTTTTTCATTCCCGCACCCCCTTTTATTTTTTTGTTAGTCAGACTTTGGCATTTTTGTCGTCATCCTGGAGTCGGAGGGCGAGCGGGCGGGTGGGTCGCGGCCCCCCGCCTCCTCGCTGCACGCCCGTGTCGGCATGTTACTCACTCCGCGTTGGTCTCCGGCGTCGGCAGGTCCCCGATGGTGGTGAGGGTGAGCGTCGACCAGTACAGCGACCCCAGGTACTTGCGGGTCAGCGTCGAGTACTCGCCGGGCCGGTATGGGTACACCCAGTCGCCCTGCGGGATGAGAGAGAGACACAGAGTTTGTTTGTTAGTGACCGCCGAACCAAACTGCAATGACAATAAAACCGAGATGAATAGGGACGAGAGAGACAGAGAGACGCCGAGTACTCCGCGGAGAGCGGCTCGCCTGGCCGGCCTTCGAAGCAAGGAGGCGACCGCAGCATCTTCCCCCTTGGACCGCAGCCCCCCTCCAACACCGCAGGGGCCGCCACCCTCCTCACCGCCCCCTCCACCACCACCGCTCCACGCCACGCTTCCCCCGGGGGATTTTCACGCGCCAAGTTCAAGTCGGGCGAGCCGCTCCGCGCCGCGCCACGCCACGCCCGGGCATAATAAACGGAGAGGGCTTCTGCTGTACATTGTCAGCGGGCAATCATTTTATAGTGGCTTGTTATACAGTTATACGGCCCATGAGGGTGTCTGGAACATCCTGGCGGGGGCGGGGCGCGCAGGGGCGCGGCGGCGGGAACACCCCCGCGCGCGCGCACTCCTATCGATTCTCCTGCGCCGCCGCCGCGCCCCGCCGTACCCCCTCCGTCCTCCTCACACTGTGCCATTTCAGGCGTGCAATAGGGGAGGACTACTCTCCCCCACCCCCCTCTCTCTTTCTCTCGTACCTCTGGCTGCTGTGCCGCTCTCGTACGCCGGACGGGTTGCCTGTCTGTCTGTCTGTCTGCCCGGCGAGGCGTTGACGTTCATTGGCAAGGCGACACAATCACGGTGCAGTTGGCGCCGCTCCACTCAGCCTTGGCGTGTGCTAATTTCCTGCCTGGACTCTCTCTATCTCGGTCTCCCTCCCTCTCCCTCCCTACCCACTAGAAGGCCAACGGGCTGCCCCCGAGCCAAGGGCGTGTAGTATCGCGAGAGAGTCGTTCGTTATTCCTCGGGAAGCAAAACTCAGCGCCGCCGGACTTCCCTGCTGCCGCCAGCCCGGGAGCGGACTTACAGGAATGATCGAGGGCCGGGCAAGTTTCCGCTCTCTCTCTCTCTCCCTCCCTCTCTGTCTCTCTGTAGTGGGGGTTCACAGCCCTTTTTGAGGATCCTTAACAAATTCAATTTCAAAATTCAATTTCTCTTTCTCATTTGTGCGGGTCTGGTCATACCTGAGCTCACAGGCGCATTAGACCGCTGCTACTGTTGAGTGCAGGGTGCAGCAAAACCCGAAGTGTCCCCCCAAAACACAACAAACATAAACCCTCGTTTGTCGATGTCGCGCGTTGTTGCCAAGTGTCGTGAAATTATGGTCTTAACAACGGATCGAGTGTTGACGGGTGACACCCTGTCAAGTGCACCCAACTGCACCGCCAGTGCAGTGCCGCGAACGCGCCGGAAGTACACGAAGGGAAGTGGCAAGAGAGGGCGAAGTACTTCCCAACACTGTCCGAACAATCCGACAGTCTGACACGGGAGAGGAAGAGAAGGAAGGGGGAGGGGGGTGGGGGGATCCCAGTGGTGCCGCCCGCTGTCTGTCCTTTATTAGATTGCAACTTTCGCACTGATGGATGAAACAGGAGCCGCCAACAAAGTGCGGGCACAGATCGTGTTTCAAGAGGAAAGGGGTTGGAAGAGGGGGGGGTCAAAGGAAGCAGGCCAAAGGCGATGAGGGGCCGGCGACCTCCTATGAGTACTCCGAGACGCTACGCGACACTACTCTTTGGTGGGAGAGCTGCCAGGGGGAGCAGCAGCAGGAGAGAAAGAAAAAGAGAGAGAGAAAGAGAGAGACTGCCTTCCAGCGACGCCCTCCCCAGCACCTACGCTCTGTCACCTTCTCCCTTTTCCCTGCCTTATACAGCGCTCTCCCCTCACGCCCTACACACAGAGACAAAGTCGTCGCCATGTTCAAATTTTGGGGGGCGCTACTACACCAGACCACGCCGCTTGGCAGGCTGACTGGGATATAAATCAAAGCTCGCCGCCAAGCAGGGCAGCAGCAGGAGCAGCAACAGCAGCAGCAGAAGTAGCAGCAGCTGCTGCAGCAGCAGCAGCAGCTCGGCGTGTCACCAGCAGCCCGGCCCCAGGGCCTAGTCTCTGCCTGGGCCTGCTTAGCCCGCCGCCGCGGCGAGACGCAGCGCGAATGTGGAATGTCCAAAAGGGCCCCATCACCCCCTATACCCCCTCCGACCCCCTGCTTCTCTCCGTGTGGTGGCCGGCGGCGCAACCCCCCGCCAACCCCCGCGCTAAGGGGGCATCAGCTCCGTATTTCACTTTTAGGGGACAAAGTAGTCGGAAAAGTTTTGGGATTCCGCGTGCGGGACATATACGGCCGCACCACGCCCTTTATGTGTATGTTTTTTTTCCTGCGGCTCCCTTTACTTCCCACCCCTTTCCAGAGAGAGCGCTGCTACTCCAGTTCCTGCTCCTGCTGGGTCGGGACCAACACACGCACACACAAACAGGAGAGAGAGCCAGCAGAGAGCAAGAGAGAGAGAGAGAGCGAACGAGACAGGCCGGAGGGAGGGAGAAAGAGGGAGAAAGGCGCCCCTCCCCCTTTCCCACGGGCAGCGCGTGTCAGCCGCCTGCGCCAATAGCCCCAGAGCGTGTAGTGAGTGTCACACGCTGCCTGCCGATGGGCCCCACAGACACCACAACTCCCCTCGATGGAGCAGAGAGGGGGGGGGGGGGGGGGAAGGGGGAACAGACAGCTAAGACTCGTCAATTTTTTCCCCCTAGCCCGCTCCGCACCGCCGCAGCAGAGGCGGCGGCAGGGCCAGCAGCCAGGGAATGGTGTCATTGCACGGGCTTCGCAGGGGGGCCTTGCCTTGCAGCCAGCGTCCGGCGCTATGATGGAGAAGCCGGAGTCATTAACGGCGCCCTCTAAGCGGACCCGCCCCGCGCCGCCCGCATCGGTAGCAGAAAGAGGGGAAAGTTTTAAGCAGTCATCAGAGAGAGCAGCGCGCGAGGGTCCAGGCGGGCGGGGCCACGACCGCGGGGAGAGAGGGGCAGGGAAGGGCCGCCGGCAACTACTGCCGAGCTTCAGGGCCTCCAGGGCCACCCGCCGGGACGGCCGCGGGGTCGTTGCGATCATTTATATTGTGAGCCTGCCCCCGGCCCGCCGCGGGGGGCCGCACACTTACGCCTTTATTGCACTTACGCCCGAGCTACACCGGCGCCCGCCCCCTTCAGGAGGAGCGCTTTCATGCCGTTATACGGACCCCACCCTCCCCCACCCCCCGTAAACTTAACTTACCCGAACCTATGCAATGCTCGTCCCCACCGCCGAGACACCTAATTGGAAATCAAAATCACCCCTCGGCCCCCGAGGCCTACCACCGGGGCACGGCGGTGTACAGTCTTACAACCCTCTCCCCACCCCCACCCTTCCGTCCAAGGGACTCGGCCCGCAGGGCACTTCGAAGCGGGGCAGGACGTCCCACCCCGCCCCGCCAAGCGGGCGACACTCGTTACAGCTGCCGCCCCCTTTTAATCCTCGTTGCCTTATTCGCGGTCTTACAACGTCGCGGCTACGTCCGCTGGCCCTTTCTTCTTTCCTTTACTCACTCTCTCTCTCTCTGCTGCTGCTGCCGGCGGCCAATAGAGGAGGAGACTCTGCTGCTCTTCTTGTGCCTGGCGGGGAGTGAATAGGAGGCGGGAGACCGGAGATGGATGCTCTGCTGCAGAGCTACTCCCCTACCTCCCCTCCCCTCCTCTCGCCCCCTATCTACTTTCCGCGGAGATAGCACGCCGTCAATGGAAGGGAAGTAATGCGGTGCATGACTTGAGGGAAGAAAAAAAAAGGGGGGAAAGAAAGGAAGTAAAATAATAAGGAAAACTAGAAGAATGGGATAGAGAGGGGCAAAAAATAAAAGTCATGAAACCGTGTGGTCATGATGGGGAGGGAGTTAGACCGTGACGGTGCGGGGAGCGAGTGATTCCTGAATACCTCACTCGGGAGAGGCGTAGGGTTCCGGGAAC